ACCAACACACTAACCTGCTAACCTACCAACACACTAACCTGCTAACCTACCAACACACTAACCTGCTAACCTACCAACACACTAACCTGCTAACCAATGTTATTTCAGCACAACCAGTTACTATGTTAATGTGAATGCTAAAGCACTTAGCAAAATATTAGTTCCAGTGTTAGCAGGTTAGTGTGTTTGTAGGTTAACAGGTCAGTGGGTTAGCAGGTTAGAAGGTTAGCAGTTTAGCATATTAGCAGGTTAGCAGATTACCATGTTAGCAGGTTAGCACATTAGCAGGTTAGCAGATTACCATGTTAGCAGGTTAGCATATTAGCAGGTTAGCATATTACCATGTTAGCAGGTTAGCATATTAGCAGATTAGCACRTTAGCAGGTTAGCATATTAGCAGGTTAGCAGTGTTGTGCCCTCCACTAACAGGCTTCTTGGTCTCAGGTGATGCACGGAGGTCTCTTCAGTGAAGATGGCGTCACACTGGAGGAGCTCAGGAAGATCGACAGGAATCGACAGCCTCCCGACTCAGGTAGATTAACTTTTATAAACCTGAGTTTAAACTGATCCTGCAGGTAGATTAACCTTTATAAAGCTGAGATTAAACTAATCCTACAGGTAGATTAACCTTTATAAACCTGAGATTAAACTAATCCTGCAGGTAGATTAACCTTTATAAACCTGAGATTAAACTAATCCTACAGGTAGATTAACCTTTATAAAGCTGAGATTAAACTAATCCTGTTAGAAAGCAGGAGGACTCATGAACAGTTTTGTTCCTCAGGTCCCATGTGTGACCTGCTCTGGTCGGACCCACAGCCTCAGGTCAGTCCAGTTTACAGACACCAGTCCTTCTGTTGGTTATAAATCTGTAATAACTTCCTGTTGTTTGCTTCCTGCAGAACGGCCGGTCCATCAGTAAGCGAGGAGTGAGCTGTCAGTTCGGACCCGACGTGACGCAGAGCTTCCTGGATCAGAACAAGCTGGATTACATCGTGAGGAGTCATGAGGTCAAAGCTGAGGGCTACGAGGTCACCCACTCAGGGAAGTGCATCACCGTCTTCTCAGCACCCAACTACTGGTACGTCCTGYTGAGGGGGCGGGGCCATGCCCCTGGCTTCATGAATAAAACAAGTCCTTTCCTCTTAMGACCCGGTCCCATACGGCTGTAGTTGTTTACAAACCCTGAGGTTTCACAGCTGCACCGCCTGAAGCTTTAAATAAAGACTRACGGCTCTTTAAGTCTGAAAATAAAACATCCTTTGTTTTGTTTCCTGTTCCTGCAGTGATCAGATGGGAAACAAAGGAGCTTATATCCACCTCAGGGGATCAGACCTCAAGCCAGAATTTCACCAGTTCACAGCTGTGGTCAGTGTTCACTGTGCAGAGACGACTTTAACACGTTACCTTTTCTTCTTCTGTGTKTGGAGTTGGTTTTAGACCTGAGCTTTGGTCCTTAGGCCTGTCACAATAAATCAATCAATCACAACAGAAATTAGACGTCAGTTTAGTTTATTTTTACAGCACCAAGTCAAAACAAACTCAGTCTCTTGAAATACTTGATTTGACTCATTTTTTTCTTATTTCAAGAATCTTACCAAGTAAAATGTTCTGACTCCACTGGCAGAAAGTTTTGTCTTAATTTGAGTCAAATTTTCAGGATAACAAGACAAATAATCTTACACATTCTGAAAACAGGATGATTATTCTTACACAATCAGTTCTTGTTTAGTAAATCAGTCTGAAAACAAGATCAAAAACACTTTTTAGCTGATGTAAGRTWTTAAAACTTGGTAAGATGACAGATGTTGCAGAGTAACATCAAAATCGTTTATCGTGATAATTTATCTCGCAGTAAACTGAGTTATGGTGACAGGCCTACTGGTTGTAATTCAAGCTTTTTTTTGTTGTTAATAACTAAAATCATCAATCAGGGATGTTAAAATATTTCCTGCAGCTGCTTCTAATAATGAGTTTTTATTTTTTTTTACTTCCTGTTCCAGCCTCATCCGAATGTCAAGCCCATGGCGTACGCCAACACGTTAATGCAGCTGGGGATGATGTAGAGTCCACGCACATCTGTCGGCCATCTTTTAGACTCTGTCCTCTGKTCCCGGTCCATCCTGCCCACCTCAGTCCCTCCGGTGCTCGGACGTGCCCCCCCCCCACCTGGTTCTGACGGGAGCAGAACTGCTCCTCTTCTCTGACTTCAAAGACGGGTCCTCCTGCACCATCACTGAGTCAGACCCGCCTCCTTTCAGCTGCTTGATGTTTTTATCTATAAACATGTTTCATTTATCAGCAGATGGGTTCTAATAGCTGGTTTGTACCAAAGATCTGTAACGAAAATGATTGTTCAGTTTTAGCAAAAAGGAACTTGTGACTAAAAGCGAGCGTTGTAACGTAGGTCTGCAGGAGCCTCGTGTCTCAGTGTTAGTCCAACCAGCCCACAGTATGTCACTTTTTACTCAACAACAACACAAACCTGAGTATTTTTATCAAAAAAACCCTCTGGGTCCACTCATAACGGTGCTGTTCACCATCAGTGACGTGTTTTTTCTGCTACAGTTGAAGACGCCGCTGCTCCACCGTTCTCCTGCCACTCGCCCGGCAGCTCCTGCACAGTCCAGTCCCCCCCGAAAGTCCAAACGTCCAGAACAGTCCTGTCTAAAAACGCACAGCTCAACGTCTGACAACCAGTACACTGATGTGTATGTATATATACTGTATCATTTAAAGATTATGTGTAATGTTTGGAGAGAAATGTTGAATTAAAAAAAACGCTTCAGTGATTTTAGAAACACTTTGATTTCCTCATTTATCTYAGAATTAACTCTTTATTGTCTTAATGTGTTTAAACGTAGTGAGTTTCAGCCGTGGTTACTGGTGTTCAGGTTTGGATGTGGGATCAATCTTGTGTCAGCAGGAACTGAATTTAAATTTCTCAGATTGAATCTGAATGTTTATAATTTGAAAGTGAATTCATTGGTTTTAAAATGAATTTTACTAAATTTAAACTAAATTTAAAGTTTTGTAAATTGTAAATTACCAAAGTAAATTTGTAAAATTTACTCCTTTAGGA